AAAAAAAAAAAAAAAAAAGAATTTGAAGTTGCTGTGAGCTATGATGATGCTACTGCACTCTACTCAGAGCAACAGAATGTGACTCTGTCTCAAAAAAAAAAAATTAAAGTCATCTCAAGCTTAAGGTTGCATAGTATGTGCAATTGGGCAGGAATCTCCTCTGTTGGCCTGCAAAGGTGCTGTCCTAAGTCAACTCTGCTACACCTATTTTATTTTTCCTATTTATTCTTATGTTTTGTCTAGGCAGGGTTTTGCTATACTGCCCAGGCTGGTCTCAAACTCCTGGCCTCAAGTGATCTTCCTAACTCAGCCCCTCAATGTGCTGGGATTCTAGGTGTGAGGCACCATGCCCAGCCTGGTCAATGGATGTAATCTCTAATATGCTGCTGAATTCAGTTTGCTGGTATTTTTTGCTAGTATCAATGTTAATGATAATGTTAATGTTGGCACAGAAATAGACAACTGTACGTGGGGACCATACAGAGAGCTCAGCAACGTATCTGCACGTAGGCTATAGAACTTAATACACCACATAAATGATACTACAGTTCAGTGTGTACATGGCTTGGACATCATTGGCTACCTGAAAACAAAGACAGTGAGATTCCTACCTCTTATAAAAAAAATTCTAGCTGAAGTTGAGATTGTAACATAAGAAGTAAAGAACTTCAGTAATGAGGTTGGGGGAGAAGACAGATTGCAAGGGGAGGAGGCGGTGTCTAGAAGATGAGAAAGTAGAGTCTGTTCACTGAAAGGGTGAATTCTAGACACAGTCACTCTCCAGGCTCCTGTAGTTGTTCCGTGTGTTGGCCAGAAGAACCTAAGTGTGTTGTTTCCTGTAATCTTTGTCTCTAGAAGACTCGCAATTAACTTGGAAGTGACTGACGAGCACACGTGTGCACAGAGGTAAAATTCAGTGGAATTCAGTGGAAATCAAGCAGGAGGAGGGGGAGGAGGAGATGAGCAAAAACCTATCTAAGGGGTACAGTGAACACTATCTGGGTGGTGGGCACACTTACGGCTGCCATCCATGCATTACAAAAGGGATCCTCTACCATAAAACATTTGTACCCTCATAATATTTTGAAATAAAAAATTAACAAATGAAAAGAAAAAAAGAGGACAAAACACATTTATGTAAACACTAAGAGAGTCTCTGAGCAGACCCTGGAGAGCCAGTCACCTGCAGTGCTAGTCTCACAGACTCCCATGCTCTTTCCTCCTTCAGATCTGTCCTGAGACGTCAGAGAGATCTTTCTTGTCCACCCTAATTAAAACCCAAACCCCACCCTTCCTCTACCCTTTATTTTTCTTTATAGCACTTATTGCCTTCCAGTATACTAGTATTTTACCTTTTTATTATTCCTCTTCCTTAGACAAAATAGAAGCTTCATGAGGACAAGGATTTTTGTCTGTTTTCTTCATTGGTATAGCCCCAATGCCAAGAACAGTGTCTAATACAAAATACATGTTTAGTAAGAGGTTTAGGAAGGAATGACCCTGAGTGGTCACAATTTGCTATTCAGAGGGCACAAAAGACCATCAACAAAGGAAGAGGTTTCCTGGAAGTTCTGATCAGAGATGACAAGGAAGTGGCAATGGGATTGAAGGGTGGAAGGACTCCAGAGTCCTGGTACACAAAAAGAATTGATCAACAAAGAAAAGCAAG